TGTGCTAAGTGATAGGGGGAGAGGAAGGGCCATCCTGCCCACCCAGAGTACAGGACACCAATTGTGCTCTCTTGGATTACCTACCACAGACAACTGTGGCATCAGGAGAGATTTCCTGGTGATTATCAGAGATTTACTCATAATTTCCTGGTGATTATCAGTGTTTAGACGGTTGCATAACTTTGCAGTAAGGATGCACAGTACATATCATGAATGTTATTTTTATTTGGTTGCCTTATCGCCCACCTCTAGGTCCCATAATGACGTGTAACCAATGGGCTGGGCGTTATCAGCAAGTTCACAATATGAAATGTATCACGCTACAAGTATCATGATACAATAAAATGAGACTACACATCGTATATACAGCATGTTTGATCAGTGTTTACTACAGCGTAAACCACAGTAATAAGGAATATGTGAGTGTCTGTGGCTGGAAAATTTTCAGTGAACAACAATTGTCACCAACGTGTTACAGATCACATACAGCTAGGACTGTCACGATCATGAAATTTTATCTAAGGATTGTCATATAAATTCCTTCAATTAGCAATTTAATTGGATTTTCTCGTTTGTTACATGCATCTGTTGCCAAATTGGCTTATTGGCCATCTTGCTTCCTAGCTGTGTGTACTTAGTAGCCAGCAGTGGTAGTATTGTCAGATTGATTCACACACTGTTGGGCGAGCACACATACAAATGTCTTTCACACAGAATCATGTAGTCAAGCAAAGCTTACATTTTTCCTTACGAATGAAAATATAAGCAATACCCTTGTTCTGCTGGCATATAGGCTTTAAAATTGGCTGCATAACTAACAAATAAACAAAAATAACTTGTGCTGCCCTCTAAGTATTTTAGTGCAGGTAGACGTTAGAATTATTTTGTTTACAGGTCCCATGATGTGTCTTAATGTATGCATTTGCTGTTTACTTTTATTTACATTTATTTAAATCAACCCAACACACCCAACTCACATTTAGCTTGTTACAGCATTCTATGACTGAAATCCTAGAACTGGAAAATGATTGCCATTAGCTTAAATAATTATGATCATCTCAGGTAATTGCAATTAGGTGATAATGTAGTAATTGTGACAGGCTTACCTACAACACGGAAGCATCTGTTCAGTTTAACAGGGCATGAAGCAGTGCTGCTTCACAACTAGTGCTAATCACAACTGGCTACAACCTAATACCTCACTTCAACCACGAACTACAACATGTCTGTGAAAGTGACACTAACTTGAGTATACAACTAACAAGGTTCATTCAATCATTAACAGTTAATAAAGGAGACTTAACAACCACTCGACAGCAGACTAATGAATAAACTTCTGAGCTTGGTCTCTCCTGAATGTGTGATGCACTGAAGGGATATAGAATATAGCTTTTTTTCCTCCAACGCAGCTTTTTATGCAAATAGTAATAAATAGGGAGTAAATCCTAACTGTTGGCGTTTGCCATGTGCTGGATGCTGTAAAATGTTGCACTCTCCAGCTCGAATTAAGCATCGTGAACTTTGTTCAGGGTTCAGAGAGGGCATTGGAGAAAGCGGCAAGCAACGATACTGAAAGGAGCATGAGAAGCCTGACAAATAATGCTGCTGAGGAGATGAGAGAAAATAAAAACTACTAACTTCTTGTATGTTATTACTACACTTTGGTAGCAATATGAAAGAGCTGAAAAACTGCTGAGTTTGCTACGAGAGCCAGTAAAGGTCTCACATAATGCTAGCAAACAGGTGGTCCTGTCTAACTTTTTAGAAACGCTTAGACTTTTTTTTTTTTGTTAATTAGAAAGAATACTTAGTCACACACAAGCCATTGCTTTTAATATCATTATCAGAATGGTTAGCTTGTGTTAAGAAGAGGTTGCATGAGGAGTATGAGACCAAGGAGCATAGGTAGTTTGGTGTGTGTTAATGGTGTGGATAGCGTGTTTAACATTTGTGATTTAGCTGTCAAGATGAGAAGTTGTATAAATGTTTAGATATAGAAGTCAATGCAGAAATGGTAATCCCAACCATTATTATGTCAATATTAATTTGATGTGAAATTACAGTTACAGACCATGATGAAAGGAAATGCAGATAAATTGTTCAAACAGTGATATAAATTTGAAGAGTGGGTCTGTGGGGCTGCTGGCATGAGTAGTAAGAAAGAGAGAGCTGAGAGTGCTGGAGCTGAGTGAACAGTAGAGCTGATAGTGTGGGGTGAATGCAGTTCATTTGAGGCATTTAAATTTTGTAGTTTTGTGAACAAACCAGCTTAGAGTATTTAAAATAAATAAATAAATACATAAATATCAGATTGGTACCACCCAATTTAGAAATTGACCAAAAGATTTCCCATGGCTCTGTCTTGAGTAACAAAGGCTACCTTGAACAAGCTGTTACGTTCACGCCAACGCTAGAGATAACCTGTGCGGTGGTGATCAATCATATTTTTTTCTCTTCAGTGGACCATATGCTGGCATGTTAGTTTATTGAGGTAATACTGTTTTTGGTTTTTGTTAACAATGGCTAATGTAGTCTACTCATGGTCGTGCTCTACCTATCTCTGAAATGTACTGAACACAGAGTATATTTCCAAGGTAGCTTTCTAAAACATTTCAGGTACATCTCAGGTTTCAACAATTTATTCGCGAAGGTTGAACATAAAAATCATTGGTCAACATTCTTAAAACATTTCTAACTATTTGTTCTATGGCCTACAAATTTTTAAAACATATAAATTAAACATTTCTCCTAAATGGAATGGAAATAGGTGCAGTGCATTGTTGTTCATTTGCATAAAATTTGACATTTGATTGCCAACAGTTGCTTTCATATGTTTCTCATATGTTTAGGAAAGAAAAAATTGCTTACCTGGTTGTTTACAGGAGACAGTCTATATTCGCTACACATAATGTCACAAAGAAGGTGTAGAAACTGAAACTGTGATTTCCAGTTTCAGTGGCTTTTCATCTGCGGTTGAAAATTGAAGTTGCAATATGCCATCTAGTCAAGCATTCCTGTGAGGTTGTTAACCTTGTCGCACTCCATAAGTAAAATCTTATCTTGCTGGGAGGTGTTACCATTAAATCTAAATGTTATATGCTTTGTAAATGTTCTAATGATGTACATTGCGTTGCTTATTGATAGTATTGGGGGAGAGGGAGATAGTCGTTTTGTGCACGTAAGGCAGCATGGCCATCTGTTAAACTGGAGTAACTACACTTTACAAGAAAGCATGGTAAAAGAAATCAGAAATTAGTGTGTCTTAAAGCAGTAGATGGTGCATTTTCTGATTTTTAAATCCTCCAACTTGATTGGCAGAACTGACTTGATTCACAGTACTGTCATCAGGGTATTTTTATGATACACGAAATGCATTTCATTTTTCTTAGATTTAGTAAATTTAGAGAGACAAAATAGAACTTGTAGTATCACATATATAAAAAATTGTAATAAACATTTTTATTCAGTGTTTTACAAACTGTATCATACTAAATCCAGTTAAACAGGGCAAGTTATGTTCACTTTGTAATGAAACATGTATTTAGTCAGTGTTCTTTAAGTACTGACAATATCCATGATATGCTCAGAAAATTATATTGTGACCGAATTTATCCCGGTGGCATGAGGTGTATGAGTATGGGGAACAGGGCAGTGCCAGCAGCTGCATGTGAGGGTACTAAAGGTCACCTGTGGGCCATGAATCATGGTTTTCTGTGCGTATGTAAAAATGTCAAATGAACTCGGACCGCTCTACACTGACTTATGAGCGAACAAACTCAGACCACCTTCTAATGTGGTATGAGTACAGTTTGTTCTTGATTCCCGTTGTGATGCAGTGGATTTGTGCACTGTGAAAACAAAACAGCCCCAGTCCAATTTGCATTTTGCTTTATGGTTAAAGAATCTCGAGGTTTACCCTGCAGAGACAGCCACAATCCTTTAGGACAGTCATATTTTAGTATGAGTGCATTCCCAAGCAGCAAAGTGAAAGAAAGAAGTGGATTCATGTGAGTTACAACCCTGATTTAAAGGAAAGTAAACTGAGGACACTGTGAGGCATTGGAGAGTGGGAGAGCGCTATCTTTTCTAGGCTAGCTGTTTTTAGCAGCTGGCTAACTGGAAGCAGCACTCCGTCACTCGCACGACACGGCAAATTTTTGATACTGTAGATCAAACAAGACAAAAGCACCGCTTTCAGTTTAAACATACTTAAAAGGAGGACTCAGTTTGTCTGGTGTTAGACATATTGCGGTTCACCCCTTAAACTACTACAATTGAATAGAGAAATCCAGTCATCGCTAACTGGTGTCTGAATACTGCGATGTCATTTGTAACGGGGTAGCCGAGCGCTCGTCACCAGCTAAAAATAATCTGTTTTCTTTCTTAAATTATGACTACTACAAAAATAGCCATGCTTTTCCAGCTGGTAAAAACAGCTCACCAGACACTTTCTCCCACTCTCCCATGACAGATTTGTGAAATGTTCCACTGTTTGGCGAGTATTTGTCATGTTCTGACCATAAAGGAGTTTAAAACAGCAATTAACCACCCAGGAGCAAAAATCAGCCTTCAAACTTGAAAGAAATAATGATTTGACATTTATCGCGATATGTATCTATATCGAACAATATGAATTTTGTTTATCGTGATAACATTTTTGGCCATATCGCCCAGCTCTACTTCCTGTATGTTCTTGTGAAGAGACAGCAGCTGTGGCATATTAGAGCAAGTTTACTTTTAAGTCAGCAGGGCTTTGCTGATATGACTCTGTTCTCAGTGGTTGCTGTATTCTGGATGTCTCTGGCTTTGTCTTAGCTTGAGATTATATTGTGTTTTCAGCTGTACATTTACAGCTGTTTTCTGCTTTCTTTAAAAAAAAAAAAGATTGTAGATCAGGGTACTAAACACTAAACTGGATTGTTGTGGTTCTTTTTTATTAGAAAGCGTAACTTATTGCCTGAAAGAGTAGGGCTAACATTTTGTGTTCTTTCCCATTCTAGGCTGTTCGCTGCTATGATTCTCTAATCCTGAAAGCTGAAGGAAAAGTCGAGCCCGAGTTATTCTGTCAGCTGGGTCACTTCAACCTCTTGCTGGAGGATTACCCAAAAGGTCAGCATTACAGGACACTTCCACATGTCTGTATTTTTATAATTCCTTTGTGACTCTTTGGTGAAAAACTTATAATTTTTAAGTGTGTAAATAAATCCTAAAGTTTCAAAAGCTAAATGTAAAAAAACTAATGATTTTATTAAAAAAAAATTTTTTTCCTTTTTTGGGGGGAATGTTCTCTCTGTTCCAGCATTATCAGCATACCAGAGGTACTACAGTTTACAGTCAGACTACTGGAAGGTAAGCCCCAGTCTTTTAGTGTAACTCAATAAGTTCATGCTCAGAAAGCTTTGTTTGGGCTGCAAACTAATCAGTGACAGAAATGCCTTTGACAAACAGTGGCATGATCGATTTAATTATGTTCTGGTGTAGCTTACAACCACTTGGTTAAAAAGTGGAATTCTCTCTGATTTTCATAAAAGGGTTTCTTAAGGGAGCTTACGTAACATGATGCACTTAATGTTGAAGATGAATTTGTGCTTTTTCTAAATGTTGTAGTTGATGGATTAATGAGTATAGTAAGTTATAATTGCAGCCCTTCTGGGAGAGCAAGATTGATGTCAGTTTGCGGTAGGTGGTATACCAGTATAAAGGCAAATACCCATGTGATGTCTACTGACATGGATTTTACTCTACCATAGAATTCAAAACAGAATTGACGAGGAGTGAGAGGATAAAGAGAAAAGAGCGGTGGTTGTTATATTTTCCAACAACCACAGCTCTTTTCTCTTTATCCTCTCACTCCTCGTCAATTCTGTTTTGAATTCTATGGTACAGTAAACAGAATTGACGAGGAGTGAGAGGATAAAGAGAAAAGAGCCATGGTTGTTGGAAAATATAACAAGAAATGCTTCCAGATTAGGGGACTGAAAAGGCTACTTAAATGTTAGATGGAATGTTAGATGTTTCCAGAATGATGAACAGATTGGAAGATAATTCAGAAAACTGTATAACATCATTGAGAACAGGCCTGTGCTGGTAACCATGTCAAAATATGACCATGGTAAATTGTTACACCAGTGGTGGTACAAGAGCGTAATAAAGCGTAGTTTGGCTGTAGTATATTGTCATTTTTTGGCCATGAAACTTTTATAAATGTAGTAAGAAAGAACAGAATTGCTGATGTCACAACAACTACACTTATCCCTTTACCTTTTCTTGGAAACCCTTTTCCTTGAGGCAGTTTGAAACTACCCATTTTGCCTGATCACCGATCTGATGTACAGTCTTTCAGTCTGTCCTGTATTGAGGGGGTTAGGGGGGATGCTGTATTTACAGTGGCTTTAAATTTTATCTAGTTTGTCTCATGAAAACTCCTTTTCATTTTGCCAACATTGGAAGATTTCAGTTGTGCTTTCACTTCAGCACTAAAGCAAGTGTGTGTTTACATGCACACACTAGCATGTGTGTGTGGTACTTTGGTTGTAAGAGTGAGCGAGAAATGAGTGTAAGTGTAGGTGTTTGTGGGCTTTGTTTTATAGTAATATGGCTCCTGTGGCTTTCCGGGTTAGTCATTCAGTGAGAATTGTCTTAAGCAGTTTCACCCTTCACCCTTCTAAGTTTATGATCATGTAATTTTTGAATCACTTGCAGTAATAGTTATTCATTTAACTTCTTTTAATTTTGGTTAATGTTTCTTAATTTGTTGTAAGACACAACTGGTTCCATTACTGGAATATGAATCCCCTTATAAAGAGATTTCTGCTTTTCAAGTGGATACTGCACAATGTATTTACTCTAAATGCCCATTGGTAGGTGCTGCCATATCATTAGTAGTGCAAAAAAATAAATTTCAACATGTATATCAAAGCTGTTGACATGAAAAATATACTTTTGCTTTAATACTTGATGCTCAAATGTAGCAATCACTAAATGCTAGTCTGTTGATTTGAATGGGGTTGCTTTGCATCAATATTTCAATATAGACCATGGAACTGTTTGTTCAAGGAGCGTAAAACTTTGTGTGTCATCATTGTCTCAAAAGCTAATAATAAAGATCAATGACGAAATTGTGTTAGTATAATAGCAATAATATTCGAGGTCTTGCTGTACTGTGTGATATCGGTGCCAGTGTTCCCAAGTGGCACAGCCGCTTAAAGTTTTGCCCTGCTGTTGGGAGATGCTCAGTTCGATTCCCAGCAATGCTGCAGCCAGCTATACCCAGGATTCCAAGAGAGCATTGTGCTTTCTAGGTAGCCCTCCCTATTCCCCATCACTCAGTAATGCATACCACCGCGGGTTTATGGTAACTGATGTAACAGAAGTAGCCGTAAGCATTCTCCACAATGTGCTGATTTAGTGATGAGTTGGTGGCAGTTTGAAAAGATTCCTTCCTCAGAGAAGGCATGTGGTAGCTTTCACCCTCCCTTTGTAGCATCGTAGGGGCATGGTACTCTATTGCTTTTGCTAGGATTTTTCTTCTTATATTTTTTTCTGCCCTAAAACTGATTGGGGAGCCGACATCATAATCCATCAAAGGACCAAACTTGGAAGATCTGCCTAAAAACCTCCCCACTACTCAAGCAAATGAAATGACACCTGATGGTGGTGCTATGGAGAAAATTTTCAACTCAATTATTGGACAGATAAGGGTGCCATTGAACATTAAGCAGTCATTGTGTGTTTTGAAGGCTTGGTGTTGGCCAATCATAATGAAAATTTAATGGCATGCCCACATAGGCGCACTCTAGTAGCCTACCAAGTTTGAGCCCAATTGGCAGTGAGGTGGTGCTATTTAACAAAAACAAGAAGTCTCATTAATTTTATCTTTAAATAAAAATAAAATCACTTCACATCATGCCTTAAACTGACACTTTTTTCTAAATGCAAGTCTTTGAAAAGCTCTTTCTGCGGTTGTTTGAAGTTAAAAAAAAAGAACTTTTCAAGCTGTTTTCCTCATTTTGACAAAAATTGGAAACATACCATTATTTGAAGAAGCATGCAAAGTTTCATTTAAATTGGTCTACATAAGCCCCTACTGTGCTTAATCTAGTGTAAATTTACTAACGTAATTTTTTCTTTCTAAGACTGAAGAAACAATCATATCTCATTAAGACCTAAACGATTGCTAATATATGTATTTTTCAAAATTGCATTGAAAATAAGTCTCTCAAAAAAAAAAAAAACTTTTCCAGCAAATCATTCAGTTTAAAAAGTTGTTTTTTTCCCCCCATACTCCTCCCTGTTTTTTTGTTTTGTTTTGTTTTTTTTCGTATCCAGATGCCATAAATTTGTCAGTGATGCTGTGGTTGTGGTTTGATTCATATGCAACCAATCAACTGAAGTTGGGCTTGAATGGACCTCAGCTGGCCCCTGCAATACTCAATCTAGTACCAGTAAACTGAAACATCATTATTTCTCTCTAAGATAAAAGTAAGAAAACTATAATGGTCTCAAACGACACACTCCATGAAGACTAAAATCTTTGCCAATATATGTGTGTTACAAAATTACACAGGAAGTCAGGCAAATGTGTTTCAATCCATCATAACTAAATTAAAAATATTTATTTAAATATTTGCAGGATTTTATCCAGTCACTAGAAGGAGCTCCAATAAATGATGTACTTCAAAACGTAAAAGTCATACATCTCACTGTATTTATCAGATTGGTCCGAGTCATGCATTCTACCAAGTATGACAGCTGTCCTAGTACAAGTCTTTTGCAAAAAGGTGCATTTGTTCCACAATTGATAAAAGTTGGAAAATTGATGTTTTCTTACAACTCCTGGAGTTTTTATAAAATTTCCTCAAAATTTGTATTAAAACAATCTGTGGGGTCAAAAAATAATTATTAAAAACATCATGGCTATTAAGCACAGAGGGACGGCATGATTTGAACAAATTAGTGTGACGTGGCTTGTTCTGACTAAAGGGCTACATATACATTAGTGTCTGTCAGATTATAACTGAATTTGAAACATATGCATAGAATGACTTGAGGGTGTATTCTAAATTAATTTAGATTTCTAAATCGCAGTAAATAAAAGACACTGAAGTTCAATAATTCGAAGAATTATGATGTTAATGAAGACTTAAAGTGCTACAGTAAGTACATTAATAAGTAAATATGGTGTGCTGTGTTCTGTGGTTGTAGTAAAATGGCATCAAAAAACAAAACTGTGTAAGCTTTTATAGTATCCCAGCTGCCTGGTGTCAGAAGAGAAAGAGACTGAAGAGCTGAACCAGCAAAGGAGGAATCTTTGCGTAGCGAAAATTAAAAAGAACATTTCATCCGTCTCCCAAGGTTTACTCTCATTTCATCACAGGTAGACAGGTGAAAGATAAATTCTGTGATTTTGGTCATTTTTGAGTGACCATTGTTCAGTATTGATATTGAATGACTTATGCAGTCTGTTTATGTCTAGAGCTGTCATGCTTTATTTAGACAGTGAAAGCAGTTAACGATAGAACATTCACATAACTCACAGAATATTTATGCCAGAAAGCTCCTGTAGCTTAAGCTAATATCAGGCTAACGTTGATTAACCCCACAGACAAAATAATTGTTATACAAGCAACATAAATCTGATAAAAAATCTGATATCGATCGATATTCTTGTTCTTTTTTTTTTCCTTTTTTCTTCTACTTCAGACATGCATAACAAAAGCTAGGCAAAATCTGTGTTTGTGTAGATATGCAAGTGTCCTCACCATGATAACATGACATAATGCTGTTTAAAAATCATCTTGCAACTTTGGGATTTCACTCTGTGGTTTTAAGAACATCCATCATATGTTAGGTACCTTTTTAGCTTAAACATACGAGTTGCAGATATATTAACCATTGCTTCATCTAGGCATGATTCTGAAGTTGACATCCTGTAATGGTGTAGCAGTTACAGAGGTAGCCTCAGTTGCCAGAATGTAACTTCTGCTCGATTTAAGATGAAACAGGAAAATTAGAACAAGAAGCTGGCAAATAAGAAGCAGATTTCAAGTTACTCATTTAGGCCGAATAAGTTAAACACTATAGTTCAACCACTCATTTAGCAGTGAACAGCGTTGCAAGCTGTAAGTGATGTTGCCAGAGAATTTTTAGAAGTGACCAACTAGGGAGAAAAGAGAGGAATGTTTTTTTGTTTTCACGCCAGAACTACCACACCACTGCCTACACCACAAATTGTGACGTTTGCCTTACAGTACCGGCTTTCAAGTTACTGTTGCAAAAGTAGGCATGGCTGACGTGGAATGTTGCCATGCTTATTTAGGCTAAGTAGAGAAGTGATGGGGATATTATTGTTTAAGTAAGGTATTTCATATTTCACATCGCAAGTTTTAACTTAAAATGAATGCTGGTAACCTTTCATTGAGCACTCTTTCACTCTGCTTGGGTCAATTCTGCTTGGGGAATTCCAAACATGTTGCCAAAAAGGGAGTTGGAGAGTGCACGCTGATGGACAAACTATTTAGCGACAACACACATAACATGGTTAAAGGATATGTATTCTGCCTCTTTTCCTTTTTAATTGTTATTTATCGACATCATGAACACCCATACCAGTTTATCTGCAACTAGCACATTGGCCGATAATATCAGCATACCAATATATCGGTCAGGCTCTAATTTGTATGTTTGTAGCTGCTGCGATTTTTATGCTGATGTAGTATGTACAAGGTAATTCTGTGTAGATCAGGTGTTCATATATGTTTTAGACTGTTTTAGACTTAGTCTTTTTGCAACGTTTAATACAGCATTGAACATTCATTGTTGTTTCTTTCTTTTTCAGAATGCTGCCTTTTTATATGGCCTTGGTATGGTTTACTTCCATTACAATGCATTTCAATGGTAAGTACTTATTACGCAGATGAAATGTTAAATTGACATTTTCCTCCCTCCTCCCACCACCAATTAAATTAATTCATTTGGCAAAATGTCACTGTGCTTTCAATAGCTGTTGAAAAAAAAAATGTTTCTTTACTTACCTTATCTTATTTTCATCGTTGGGCAGTTTTCTAGAAGTCCTTCTTACCCAAGAAACTACCCAACTGCTCAAAGACATGTTATTTATAACAATCGAAATAACGTCTCTTATTCTAACTTTTCTTTCCAAAGAAAGTGTTCTTATTTTAAGAAGTAATAAACCCCTGATGTTGCATGTAGTTGCTTGAGGTTGAGGTCAAGTTACAGAAAATAATTTAATGTGTGTTAAAACTTCTTTAATGTTATTTATGCTCCATCCTACTTAGAGCTGTTTGTATGAGAACACAATTGTGATGAAATATTTTAGCAAAATATCTTTATAAGAATTGATAAGAATTTATAAGAAAATTGTGATGAGGATAAAGGGGATGTTTGCTAGCTTCTGCGCTATTCCTTTCCTGATCAACACTTCTTACACTCTTGAGCATGATTTCTTCATAACTGAGCAAATAAGTTTGTAGTGTTTAATTTTGAAGTAGTATTGTAGTGTTTCCTTTTGATGCTGCTAAACACTGCGATTTGTTGCAATGTTTGCAGATGTCACCATCATTTTTCTCAATTAAGGGGGCGTAAGTGTAATCTGGGTGATCTGCCCCCCTTGATAGTTTAATTCCAGTACACACATTCAGATGCTCCTAAAGGCCATGATTAACTGCATCAGGTGTATTACATTAGGGTTGAAGGTAAAATCTCCAGGGGCCTCTCCATTGGTAAACGGTGCGTACACACTCAAACAGGTCTGAAGGTTTGCATGCAAATTGTGGCGTTTATAATGAAATGCTTGGCGGGAACTTGTGTGTGTATAGACGAAAGCTGTGACTCGGGTGTAGGGCCAGGTCCGTTCACAAAAAATATGTGGATTCCTAAGAGAGCAAGTCTTTAAACCTTTTTTCCCCCTTCATTCCAACTCTATTTATAATGACTAAAGGCCTTTACACACTGAAAGCGATTTATTTGTGCCTTTTATTCGGACGACAGTAAATTAATATGAATGTGTATAACTTTGGGTATCTTAAACACCAAATGCGATTTTTCACATTTGGTGAAAATGCAACATTATTCACTCTGTTTGATTTTGCTGAACCTTCGCAGGTGACATAAACTCATTGACCAGTCTCTGTCATCTCTGTTGCCCTGAGGACAACCAAGATGACAGAGCAGCTGTGTTCCAGCAAATAGAACTTTTTCACAAATGTTGAAAGGATCAGAATCTCAAACTAGGCCCAATTATCGAGTTAAATGTGGAAGAATTGTTTCAGCTTCTGAATGATGTGATGAAGTTGTTCATGCTGCTTTCACTTTTCCTAAATGGACAGTAGCCCATTGTCACCGTTTGTCTGTTCTGCTGGGAGCAAAGGACCAGTTTTTATCTGCACTTAGATGTTTTGTTCGTTTGTTTGTTTTGTGCTTTGTTTAGTGTGAAGCTGCATCTCCAAAATCAGCTCAAACTCACCTGATATATATATATATATATATATATATATATATATATATATATAAATAAAATAGTGTGAGAATATTTTGCACAGCACGTCATTTTTTTTCGTGCTGCTTTCAGTGTATAACGGCCTTAGTTGTTGCAACATTTGCTAAACATAATGATCAAGCATTATGCTTCCAATCAAGAGTAGTAAAAGAATTTTGAAAAATTGCAAATTTGCCACATCACAAATGCAATATTAAGGGTTTGGTAAAAAATGTGTAATTAGGTTGTACCCTAGTAATTTCTATTCTATTCTTTCTACCCCTTGTGACCATGTATTTGTGTAAAGAACTAACACACTTTACTAATACATGCTGAAGTGCATGGGGTGCATTTTACTGTTTTCTTTGCTTTCCATTGGATTGGAACTATATTTTCTCACTGCTTAGTAGGTTAAGTGATGTTGGTATGCTACTGTTTTGTTAATGTTTCCGTGTTTGAGCTTTAAGGTTTTGATTGTAGACTGTGATATAGCTAGGTGCACATTAGAGAGGCAAGCATGGTTACCAAACCAGAGAAGCCCAGCCATTTATTGGGTAAAGGTAGCTGTGCCCCCTCTGCAGTTTCATTTGCGCTTTTGCCACCAAGCCTCAGACATTTTTCTTCACTTTCTTCGCTTCGAACGTCGACATGAGAACCTCAAGCTCACACATTCCAGATGTGCCCCTTGGTTTTGTTTAGTTTTTTCGGGTTTGTTTTTTCACCTCCACTATGTCATTATCACCTGTTTGTCACTAAACAAGGAATGGCACACTTACGTATTCATGAAGTAATTTGCGTTGACCATTGATGGTTAGTTTTGGGACAGAACAGGGCAGGATATGAGGGTCTTTTATGTATGTTTTTTAAGAAAGTCTGTGATTGCGTGCAGGTGTGCATGTTGGTTTCATCCAAATCCAGTTATTTTTGCTCCATGTCCTGGTGTTTTGCACACACCCTTTCACTCTGGGATCCATGCAGTGTTTTCAAAATGAGGCTCCAGGGCAGCAGATCACTAGGACCAGACTAGTGCACCCCTGTTTTGCATCATCAGAGGTTAGATTAGGCTCTGTATGAAGGTTTGCTTTTATTGGCTGTTGGCAGAAAAAGAGACTGAAGCCTATACGAGGTGGTCCGTTTGCATTTTACACTTATTTTAAAAATGTGTTACCTTTTCAGCAAGAGTAGAATTGACACTGACTGTGCAGAACTTCAAAATGACATCCATGCACAGTGCAGTAAAGTTGCTGAATGTTGCGATGGTGTAATGAGAAGTCATAAATTATAGTTGTTTACAGTCGTATATTTGTTTAAATATTAAAATATAAAAAAAGTGCAGATTCTGATTTGACAGTATGCCAATAGTTGACAATTCTGCCTATCCCAGGGGTCAGCAACCTAAATGTTGAGAAGAGCCATTTTGTCCTTTCAACAAAAATCAAACCGTACTTTGTGAGCCACAACATTTTATGTCTGTTTTACCATTTTGGCTGTAAATATGTGTCAGTATATGCTGCTGGCATAGGCTAAAAATATGAACAAAAACACAGACTTACTCTTCTCTGACAGGAAACTTTTCCACAAAAGTAGAATAGCTTCCTGTAAAATATCTGTTCAACTCTTTCACTAGGCCAAAGTCAGCTTCTCATTCTCCAGCTTCAATTTTCCGTTCTACTTTAAATGGTGCCTGAGGCGCCAGAATGTAACTGCTGCACCTTTTGAGGTGAAACAGGAAAATTCAAGCAAGAAGCTGGCTAGCGAGAAACTGGAGTGCTTATAAGTCCATTTGTCACCAAATTCTTGATGTTCGTCTTGAATCTTTCTCTTTGCTTTTTTGTAAGCTACTAGCTAGTTGAGTCTTTTCTGCGTTGCTATGGTGACTAACAGTCTGCGTGCAAATCTTCAGGGTTAAAGGTCAGTGAATTAGCAGTTATAGGCTACTTTAACTGCAATGTTTAAGACCATTTATTGCTAAAACTGTGTTAGAACAGTCAGCAGAGCTTTATTTTACTGCGAAGGAGGATTATTTTATTTTTACTTAATCTAACTCTGCTATGGAGCAACAACAGGGCAGTAAAAGAGACACGTTGCCGACCGCTGGCCTGTCTGATATGTATTTTTCCTGCTGTTCACTGAGTAAAATAGGCATCTCCTTTAGGCACAAAATCAGTCTGACAGTTTTTCTTTACGGATCATTCTACTAAATTGGTTCAAAGTCAGAGTTTAAAACACATTTTAGACTTTTAACTGACTTGGACTTTAGATTAGAATGCTTTTGCTGTGAAAGACTCTACCATAATTAAGGGGATTAATCTAAAAATTAAAGTCATGATACATCTCATGCTAAAAAAAAAATTAAATGCTTTTGACAAGTTGAAATGTAGGGGTTAGGGTTTGGGATCGACACCTCCCAGTAGATAATATGTCTTAAGTATATTTTGTATATGTTTATTGTATTACTGTCTGAATAATGTAAGTAGGAAATAAATTGGGTATAAATAGATTGTTGTGTAATTGTTATGTAAGTGACTGGATAACAGGGTGAATAATACACTCATTCTGCAAGCCCCCGATTCTAATGATAATACATAATGAGTCCCTGATTATGCTAACCCACCAGTGCTCTAATGGAAGGCAAAACTCCTTATGCGTCCTATCTAATTGTCACTCGTGTATAGTGTAATATAATTTGATACGTTTTGGTTTTGCAGTCCTTTGTGATGTGCTTATCATAAACTTGCAGTAATGATATGATTTAATCCCTAATCCGTAAAATAAATAAAATGTCTTTCTGTGAAAAATTCAAATAGCACAGAGCTCTACCTACTGCTCCCCTCTATGGCTCAGCTGTGATGGCACACAGGCAGTGCAAGTGTAGTGTAAGTTGCTGCTTAGTTCAGTTAGAGAAACACATAAGGCAGAGGATTCTGGAAGGTTTTGAACATGAAATCAGTTATTACAGTTGTTGCTTTGTTACCTGCTTGGAGTACTGTCTAGCTTATGTAATGGATATATAAGAGAAATCTGATTTCTCTTTGCAGGGCGATTAAAGCATTTCAGGAAGTGCTGTACATTGACCCCGGATTCTCTCGAGCTAAGGAGATCCACCTGCGTCTCGGGCTGATGTTTAAGGTGAACACAGACTACGAGTCAAGCTTAAAGGTAGGAGCTGTTAAGTATATACTAACCTTTTGTATAGCTTTCTTTTATCTGAAGTGTTACTGGCTTTTTTCTGCTGGTTAATTCATGGGCGGGATGTTATTGGTTTACTCCTTGTGAACCCCCAAGCAGTCCACATATTTGCTCTGTTCCAGCACCATAACACATAAGTTCCACAGCTCTTGATTACCGAGTCAGAGTGTGTATTCAGGGGTTGGAATTTTTTTTTTTTTTTTAAATAAAAATAACACAAATCTGGACTGGGAGAGCATCCCCAAAGATTGGACTTCTATCCCAGGGAGAGATTCTCTCTCTTAGGCCACCCTTGTTCTTTCATTGAGCCACAGGCAGTGGTGTGGATCCAGTCTTGGAGGGGAAAGTAGAATTAAAAATGGAGGTCGAATAGAGTGTGGAGAAGTCTTGACCATGCTGCATCTCCATCCAGAGAAACTGTCTTTGCCCACTAACAGAGCTGGGTGGTATTGATAAAATTTAGTTTCCCTATATAGGCCCAGTATATAATGGTATTTGATTATATTTAAGTTTGTATTATTAAAGTTAATGAACACATTCTTTCTGTATGTTGGTCCACTATTCATAGTAACATGTAATAACTTACAAACCTGACACAACTTGTTTTGATTGGACTGTTTGTTCTGTTTTCTGCTCCTAAAATTAGGCAGTATTGTAAATGTTAACCAGACAAAAACCGTATTTAAGTATAATTGTACTTTTTATACTCTATTATACTGTTGATGGTATGATAATACAAGAATTTAAGAATTTCATCTGTAAATTAAATATAGACAAAGACCTACTGTTTTGAGTGTTCAGTTTTCACTTTGGAACTGTTAATGCAGGGCTGTTTTTGGTACTGCTCTGATAAGCCTTGATAACAGGACCACTAGCTCAGTGTTTTGGTTGGTGGCCTATTCACCAAGCACGAACACTGAGGTGGTTAACGAAAAATTCCCGTAATGCTGCTGCATCTGATATGCTCGTACCAACCTGACTGCCCAATAATATGCCGCTGCCAAGTCATCACTACAATAATATCTGGTTAACACTGGTGCTGTGTTGGTTCCTTTCCAGTGGTTGTGAGGAGGTAGAGGGTGGCTAACAAATTGGCCGTTTGCAAAATTCTGACAAAGACCTGTCTCTTTGAAACCTTTTTCATTCATAAATAAACTGGCTTAGTTTAAGTGGTCATTGCAGACATACATGTTTAAAAACTGACAAAATATGACTGTATGCCAATTTAAATTGAACAAAAAAACGCATTCTGCAAACCATGTTCACATTAGTTATACAGGGGAAATTGTTTAGTTACTCATCATTAAAGCAGTAGATCTTCATGTCTGTAAGCAGGAGATTTCAGTGATTGAAACTACCCCTTCAGATGAGCTTATGCTAAAGTTAACACTAGAGCTAGGTGAAGTAGCTTTAGAGCAGGACTGTCTTTGGTGTGAGGTCTTTCAGAAAACTATAATGAAACAGTACAAAGAATGGCATGCATTTTTGCCACAGCATTTTTTTTTTGTTGTGTGTGTGTTTTTCTTTTTTTGTTTTTGTTTTTTGGTAACCTGTACTAGTAAACTTAGAATTTTAAACTTAAGGTTTTAAAATAATGTGTCAGTCAGTAAACACAACAGTATCACACTCCACGTTTTCACACTAAATGTCTTACTGAGTTGAGTTATCGATGCCTCTCTTACAAATGCATTCTTTCATAGCAACTGTTATGTAGTGAGGTCTGGTAATCTTTAAAGAGCATTGGCAAAAATCTAAATAACCAATCTCTAAAATCTCTAAAAAATTGTAACATTCATGACAAACACTTATGGTTGACTTGAACATACATAGTAGAGTGTGTCTCAGTGTCTCCTCTCTCTCCCCACATCCCCCATTTTTGTCCTCCTCTCTGTCTTTAGCACTTTCAGCTGGCTTTGATCGACTCAAACCACTGCACTTTGTCCAAAGCTGAAAGTAAGTACCACATAACAAAAGCTTTATTCACACATTTGTCGAAGTGAAAGTGTCAAAATATAGAAAACCATAATTGCAAATTTTGTTTATTAATTAATTTCATTTCAGTGAGGTGGTCACATACTTAATCAGTCTCATTTGGATCACTTTTTAAAGATCAATGATTGTATGTAAAAAGCTTTGACTGAAGTGCCTCAGTTATTGTTGTCGTTTAATTTTCTTCACAAATTCACATTGCCTGGAACTGGTTGCCCTGGAAACACCTATCACATGCTGCTGTGATAGCGTGATCAGCCTACACACATGCGTGCACACACACACACTCTCTCTCTCTCTCTCTCTCTCTCTCTCTCTCTCTCTCTCTCTCTCTCTCTCTCTCTCTCTCTCTCTCTCTCTCTCTCTCTCTCTCTCTTTTCTTTCTGTCACACACACACTCACACTCTCTCACACACACACTCACACTCAGGGACATCAAGGGCAGTCTCACCTCTCTGTCTGAGTGGAGTCATTTATTGGGTTGAAAAGCAGCAGAGCTGTGGACAAAGGGAGTTGTTTTCAAAGGAGCAGCTCAACATTGGCATTATAATGCTAGAATCTTAAACTTTCTGCTAAATATATGAGTTGTTGTACATTTTAATAAGGGAATATCTGTTTTTGTTTTTTTTTTAACCTGTCATTTTCTTTTGTTTTGCATTGACAGTTCAGTTCCACATTGCTCATTTGTATGAGATACAGGTAAGTTCTTTCTTTTTCTTTCTGTGTCTTGTGTCTTCCTGTCTTTAGCTCTGCAGTCTCTTGCTTGCTTGTAAATGCATGTTGTTGGTGCATTGTTTTTGTTATTCCGCCTTAATTGCGTATAATGGAATATTAGTCTGTAATGTTCAGTCCACATTGCCATGGCAACAAGTGAGTGAGCCTGTGGCTCCCCTGGGCCACTGTGTCATGTCACGGCTGAGACATCTCTCTCTTCGCTGGTGCCCTTTGCTGCTGCCAGACATTTGAATGGTTCAGACATTCCTGGGCAGCTTTATAATTTTTTTTAGCATAGAGACTGGTTAGATGCTTGGCTTTTGCATATAAATGGTGTATTTGATTCATGTACGATTGTCCTTTGCCATTAGGATTTTGAATAAAAAGAGGAGCTTTGCCTTTTGATTTGCATGTGCAGGTCTGTTGTTTGTGCTTTTGGTTCTGTGTGTACATGTGTTTAGGTTGAAGGTATTTATCTCTCTTGTCCTATTTTTCTTTGTGTGTGCAGAAGAGATACCGTGCAGCAAAGGAAGCTTATGAAAGTCTGTTGAAGACAGAGAATCTACCTGCACAGGTGAAAGCCGCTACTTTACAACAGCTTGGTAAGTTCAAAACATAATTTTTGCACAAAGAAACAGAATAAAAAAAAAAAAACTACTAATGAACATTTTAGAAGTGCACTGTTATTGACCATGGATGGTCATTTTTTTTCATCTAAAATTAACTAAATGATCTGAAATGAATGATTAATTAGAACTGTAAGTGAGAAATTTGCTAAGAAGCAGCAATCTATACATTTACCTTCACACATGCTCGTTCAGCTAACACTTGCCCAAAGCCACTAGCGTGAACCAGCTGTCGGGGCCATCTGACCAAAGCTATGCCTTCTTTTTTTTTTTTTAAACTCATCTCCAGGCTGGATGCATCATACAGTGGAGCAGCTGGGAGACAGAGCCAATAAGGACAGCTACGCTATTCAGTGTCTGCAGAAATCTCTTGAAGCAGATCCCAACTCTGGCCAGTCGTGGTATTTCCTTGGAAGGTCAGTGACAAGGGTCTGTCCCTGAAACTGTACTGACCTCAGTTTCAGTTGCATTAGTAGAGAAATCATGGTGATTCACGAGAACCTTCTCGACTCTTCTTCTAAAGCAGTGCAAGCTACACATGGAGTTATCAATCACTCTGATATACTGTTCCCAGTATTGTCATCTGTACTTGGTTGTTGCTGTAAATAATACTCTATATAAACAGAGATTGTCAGAGATTGTTGGGCATACACAAACTAAAAACATATAGCATGTATATAAAGGCATAAAAGATATTTGTGAGCTCATTACTATCAGTGTCAATGTAGTGTTGATGGTGTTCATGAGTAAAGAATCATTGCTAATTTTATTTGAACCTCTCTTTTTCCTGCTGTCTTGACTTTTTTTTCCTCCCCCTGTAGGTGCTACTCGAGTATTGGGAAAGTGCAGGATGCATTCATTTCTTACAGGCAGTCCATAGACAAATCAGAAGCCAGTGCAGACACCTGGTGCTCCATAGGGTATGGATGTCTAATGAGTCTAATTACATGAAGTACTCGGCAAAATCAGTAATCAATTATCAGTAATTTATTTATATATATATATGTATGTGTGTATATATATATAATGGGTGAGTGTATAAAAAAACAATCCACTGCAAACAGATTGCAATGATATGCAAATGATATAAACCCTATATTTAATTGAAAGAAAATAAAGACAACATATCAAATTTGATGTCAGCAATACCTTTCAAAAACATTGGGACAGGAATGTTTACCACTGTGTTGGATTACCTCTTCTTTTAACAACCCTCTATAAATGTTTTGAGACCAGTTGCTGTAGTTCTGAAAGTGAAATGTTTTCCCATTGTGGCTTGATACAGGATTTCAGCCGCTCAACAGGTCAGGGTCTCTTTTGTTGTATTTTTCATTTAATAATGTGCCAAATTTTTTCAGTGGGTGACGGGTCTGGAGAGCAGGCAGCCCAGTTTAGCACCCATACTCTCTTTCTGTGGAGCCATGCTGTTGTAATACATGCAGAATGTAGTTTGGCTTTGTCTTGCTGAAATAAGCAAGGTCTTCATCTACATGGCAGCATATAATGCTCCAAAACCTCTATGTATCATTCAACATTAATGGCACCTTCACAGATGTGCAAGTCACCTATGTCACGTGCACTACTGCTTCCCAGGATCACTACAGATGCTGGTTTTTGAACTGTGCGCTGATAACAAGCTGGATGGTCCCTCTCCTTTTTAGCCCCAAGGATGCAGTGTCCATGATTTCCAAAAGAAATTTCAATTTTGATTCATCAGAAAACAGTACACTTTTCCACTTTGCCTCAGTCCATCGTAAATGAGCTCTGGCCCAGAGAAGGTGGCAGTGTTTCTGGATGCTGTTTATATATGGGATCTTCTTTGCATGGAGTTTTAACTTGCATACAGTTTTTTCCAGATTATGTGAATCTTTTAATGACATTGTGTACTGTGAATGATGAAATCCACCATTTCTTTACTGTTTTTTGTTGAGAAATGTTATTCTTGAATTGTTGCACTATTTGCCTGCACAGTCTTTCGGAGTGATGAACCCCTCCCCATCTTTACCTCTGCAAGACTCATCCTCTCTAGTATGCTCTTTTTATACTCAGTCATGTAATTGAGCTGTTGCCAACTAACCCAATTAGTTGTGAGATGTTCCAAAATTGTTTTTTTTGTTTGTTTTCTTTTTAAGCGTTACACAACTTTACCCGTCTTTTGTTGGCCCTGTCCCAACTTTTTTTGCAAATGTGTTGCTGACATCAAATTCAAAATGGCATATTTTTTTTTCTAAAAACAATGAACTTTCTCTGACTTGACACAGTTAAATATAGGGTTTAAACAATTTGCACAGCTTTGCATTCTTAAATAAATGTGTATATAAATACACCGATCAGGCATAAGATTGTGACCACCTCCTTGTTTCTGCGCTCATTGTCGATTTTATTAGTTGCACTTACTATGTAGGTGCACTTTGCAGTTCTACAATTACAGACTGTAGTCCATCTGTTTCTCTGCATCCTTTGTTAGCCCCCTTTTACCCTGTTTACCCAGTGGTCAGGACCCCCATGGACCCTCACAGAGCAGGCACTATTTGGGTTGTGGATCATTCTCAGCACTTCAGTAAGGCTAATGTGGTGGTGATGTGTTAGTGTGTGTTGCGCTGGTCTGAGTGGATCCGACACAGCAGTGCTGCGGGAGTTTTTAAACACCTCAGTGTCACTGCTGGACTGAGAATAGTCCACCAACTAAAAATATCCAGCCAACAGCGTCCTGTGGGCAGCGTCCTGTGACCACTGATGAAGGACTAGAGGATGACCAACACAAACTGTGCAGCAGCAGATGAGCTGTCATCTCTGACTACATCTACAAGGTGGACTGACAAGGTAGGAGTGTCTAACAGAGTGAACAGTGAGTGGACACAGTGTTTAAAAACTCCAGCAGCACTGCTGTGTCTGATCCACTCGTACCAGCACAACACACACTAACACACCACCACCATGTCAGTGTTACTGCAGTGCTAAGAATGATCCACCACCCAAATAGTACCTGCTCTGTGAGGGTCCATGGGGGTCCCGACCACTGAAGAACAGGGTAAAAGGGGGCTAACAACGTATGCAGAGAAACAGATTGACTACAGTCTGTAATTGTAGAACTACAAAGTGCACCTATATAGTAAGTGGAGCTGATAAAATGGACATTGAGCATAGAAACAAGGAGGTGGTCATAATCTTATGCCTGATCTGTGTGTATGTGTGTATATACATATATATAAGTGTGTGTGTGTGTGTGTGTGTGTGTGTGTGTGTGAGAGAGCTGTACTGAAGTTTGGGCGCCTAAAAGTTATGGCTCATTTTGTTTTTTCCATCATTCAACTTGGCAAGTAAATAACAATTATGCACTACAATTTGCTGAAAAATGTCACATTGACAATTTTTACTTGTAGAGGATGTGTTAACTTTTCATTTATATATCTTTGCAAACATATCTTATGTATAGCTTATTTATTTATTTATTTGAGCCCTCCCCCTCTCCACAATAGCTCATCTTTTTAAATTCTTTCCCTGTTCTTCAAATCTCACGCTCAGGGTGCTGTATCAGCAGCAGAATCAGCCTATGGATGCTCTACAGGCATACATCTGTGCTGTGCAATTGGACCACAGTCATGCTGCAGCCTGGATGGACCTAGGCACGCTCTATGAGTCTTGTAACCAGCCACAGGACGCGGTTAAGTGCTACATTAACGCCACACGCAGCAAGGGCTGCAGCAACACGGCGGCACTTACCGCCCGCATCAAATACTTGCAGGTAAGGCGGACGACAGATCAACAGACACCTGTTAGCTACTGCGTAGCATCCAGATTTCAGCACTGACAAGCTGCAGTGCAGAGGTCTTGGTCTCCAAGCCTTAAACTGGCAGTGAATTTCAATCAAAAATGAATTTGGTGGGTTTGCACAGGCTGTCAAATTGCCTTTAAGTACACTGCTGTGAGCAATTGTTTGTCTACTCATTGCGACTTGGGGTCTGTTTATTTAATGATGCTCTAAGTAGAAGAAAGCTTGTAATGAGTAAATATGGACAAAGGACATTTGTCCATGTGACTCTGACCAGTTGCCTGTGTAGAAATTTTAGTGTCTTGACTAGTAAAGCAGTGAAATCCCAGTGTGGTTGCAAACTTGCCATTTCCATGTGTAAACATGCTGAATTTGATTTTGTTTAATGTTTACTGCCAGATTTGAGGGTGTGTTTGTGTGTGTGCATGTATTTGGGTGTCAGTGAGTGAGAGTGGTGTGACTCTGTGGATATCCTTTAGTTATGATCAAAGTTTTTCATTACATTTTATTTTCTCATTTAAGTTACAGATTTCTTTTATCCTCCCCATTCTTTGTATGTATGAATGAGTCATGTATTCATGATTTAATGACAGTAGGACTTCAAGCTTTACATTGTATGCATTATAAATTTTAAGTCTCCTTGGCAGTGATTATTACTACACTACAGCTAGATTGGTTAGTGTGATCTAGATCCTCATTTGTTTTACCTAGATGAACCTCTTAAAACTCTAGTGTTTAGTCCTAAGGCCACATATCTATATCAACTGTTCCGCCGCCCAACCTTAGATGGCTGTTTAAATATGTTTTTCACGCGTTTTCGTTTTAGGCTCAATTGTGTAACCTTCAACACACTAGTCTACAGAGTAAAAGTAAAATGCTTCCTAGTATTGAGGAAGCATGGAGCCTCCCAATCCCCGCAGAGCTTACCTCAAGACAGGGCGTCCAGAACACAGCCCAGCAGGTGAGACCAGATAGTCGCACACCCTGAACACTATAACCCTTGACCCCTCTTCCCAAACACGCACATACACGTACACGCAGCTCACAACTCTGACACATGGCTCAACCACTTCAACCATGCTTCCATCTCTATAACATACCAGTTACCAGGTGTGCTGATCTTCTTGGCAATTTAATCTTTAAAATATATTTTAAACTATAACTGTTAACTTTAAACACATGCATTGTGAGCCTCATCAAGTAGAACTTGCTTTTTCAGTACTCCTATAGTAAATCACTCCACTGAAATAAAATGAAACAGGAGCGTGGTTTGTGTTTGAGCTTCACTAGTGTAGCCTTAGATTTTCTGTTTAGACCTGTGTTAAATGTGTGTTCAGAGTTGAATCGTTTCCTGTCGCAGAACTCTTAAATGGCCTCCTAACCTTTTTATCTAACTCCTAAGTCAAACTTTGAATCAAAACTAAAAACTTTAATCAAAACTAGAAAAGTAAAAATTATCCTCTTGGGAACATTCATCCTTGCTTAATTGCTAGCTAGTTCTCTTGCTTTCTTGGAGTCCATTTAGGATTGTTTAACAGGATGAAATATTTCATTACTCTGAGTACATTTTTGACAGGCATAGAAACCTGCAACCATTACACAGCAGAGGGCCCTAAGTGCTGCAATACCTCCCCAGAACATTGGCGTAGTTGAGTTCAGTAGTTTGAGTGTATGTGTGTGTGTGTGAGTGCGTGTATATGAGTGTTTTCATTAATGGCACAGTACAATGAACTTTTTCATTGATACTGATGCATTCATGATAAATGTTGGCTTTATTTTTGTCATCCCTCCTTTACTCTGAAAGGTAGGTTTATTAACCATATCAGTTTTCATGTTTTCTCAAAGAAATTTTCTCTACTCACTGATTCAGTCTTGTAAAAATCCAGAAAAGCCTTTTCAGCATCAGTTAAAGGCATAGTTCAACATTTTGGCAATTTAACATGTTAAACATTTAATTCTCTCCTACCATTCCTGTCTACATACAGTTTCATAGTCTTGTTGGAGCAATTCTAAATAGGTCAGACTTAGGAGCCTTGTCGCCTTCTGTTGCTTTAAAAAGCTTTGTCATTACCTTCACAGATGAAATTATGTCAGTTTTGCTGCCACATGAGTTTATAAAGGCTTTTCCTGCCTAAATGCTAAATGGGTATACTGACGCTTCACATAGTTTATTTAGATGGGTAAAATGGGTAAGTGCCTTATCCATTTTTAATTTATTTATGTGATATTGGTAACTTTGCATCCATGAAGGGGGAAAAAGTAATGAATTGCCAGAATGACAGGCTAGCCCTCTGTACATATAGACATAAATGTCTAGGACTAGGGCAATAAGCAGTGGTGGTTCTGTAGTTTATTCACTCATTTTAAGGCTCGGCGCTCTGAGCTGAGGTTTTGAGATCCATCATGCATAGCTCTCTTTGCTGTTTATTGAGCTTTTTAACACAATGGGCTGTTTACCAGTCTCTGTCTCTTTGAGTGGCACTGCCTAAATGAAAAATGGTAACTTTGTTGGACTTAATACTTGATGGAACTGTTTTTCTTCCTCTGCATCTTTTTCCCCACATTTAAGCACATCTGATTTGACATGATTGATCAGAGCAAAAATTGTCTATGTGGAGAAATACCACAGAACGACTAACCATTAGGCTAAAATTAAGAAGAAAAATACTGCTTGTAATGTTGCAGTGTGCCATTTACTCATGCTGTGAAGCACAGGACAGCTTACTGCATAATGTGCAATGCCAGCACTGGAGTTACAGATAATTGATTGGTACCCACTGTGCTCTTGCATACAAACTGGAGAGGAAAAAAAAAATTTCATGGCCTTTAGCTATAATTATAAGTCAAGTGGTTCCAGCCCCATAAATGTTACCATAAAGCCATGGTTATCAACTTTGCTCCAGGAGGACTCATATCAAGCACAGCTTTTATTGATTTCTCATACTCAGGTACATCCACTAAACCTGACAATTAACAGAGGAGTTGAATCTGGTGTACTTCAGCACAAAAATTTGCCAAAAATACCTCTGCCATAGATTTGTTATTAATGTATACAATCTGGTGTTCCCCTTTTGCTTCGCATTGGCAGATACAGCTTCTACAGTGCTCTTTAGAAAACAGTATGATCAGCAGCAGTTCTGTGTGTTGCTGACAGATACACACTGTAATCCAGATTTTGGAAAAAAATTCTATGGAAATGCTGGCTTTATCTGTAACTTTAAGCTCGTGTCCTCAACCTGGCTTGTGATGCTAAAATGTCACTCGTCATTCAGGCTATATGGTTGTTCTAAAACTTTTCAGGTTGAGCACTTATTGCAAAACTTGCAGCTTCTAAGCTATGTGTGCCTTTCACTAAGCTTTTTTGAGAAAAACATGCTAAATCTACTTTTTCTTGTTCGATCATTTGGCCCAGTAAATTTGAATACTAATTTGAATAAGTATTTGTTCATCACATTGGTTTTCAATTTCTATTCAGTATTTGGAAACTTTTTTTATAAGCTGAACGAGTAGTGGCCAAAAATGAATGCAGTCAGCCAAGGTCTTTAGAAAGAACAATTGTTTCAAAAGAAAATATTTGAAAATAAGTAAATAGGGCTCCCAAGTGGTGGAAAGTATTGGCCCTGTCATCAGGAGATTGCAAGTTCGATCCCCGGTGATGCTATACCTGTTTGTGGCTGGGAGTCCAAGAGAGTACATTTGGCCTCACTCAGCCTGGGTGGGTAGGATGGCTCTTCCTCTCCGCACATTAATCGGAGCAGTGCTAGCCTGCACAGGCGTCTGTTAGCTGACCTAACAGAACTGGCAGGTAGCATTCTCCTCCAAGCGCATTCAGCTATCCAATGATGTTGCATAAGCAACAGTTTGAAAAAGATGCAGTGGCTAGCTTTGCTTGACTTGGAGAAAGCTTGTGTTTGTTTTTGATCTCCTAGTGCTGGTGGTCTATGTAATTGGGAGAGTCCTAACTTGTGGGTGGAATTGGATACTACTAAATTGAGGAGAAAATTGAAAATTTAATCTCAGATGAACAATATTCTTACTGTCTGAGGGGTGGATTTTTAAAGGATTTGGTCTGCTCTGTCCAAAAAGGAGTATATAAGTGATGAAGAGAACAGTAAGTGATGAGGTCAGAGGACGGAACCCTGAGGGACCACTTGAGTGTCAATAGAAGTTAAGTAAAGCCGGAGAGAGAAATAAACTGCTTTCTGTCAGAGATAGGTGAACCAATCCAGTGCAAAAAAAATCCAAAAAAAATATAGCTCATTTGCTTGAATGCATTATAAATTCATGCCAGACATCCATTGCACCTCTCCTCACACTGCATCAAACTGTGCTGCAACTATGTAGGTGTAGTGATCTTTATCTGCAAGCCGCCATGCATCCAATCCACGCTGTCTCTGATTCTGCCTACTCCTTGTTTTTCTCCCTCTCTTTTCCAATTAACCAAGTTTACAGCAGGTTTCGAACTTGATCGCAGGTCTGTTTATTGTGACAATCACAAGTTTTCACTGCTTTATCAGAGAAGAGTCTCCCCCATGCACCATTAGTAACTACCACACTAAAAAGATCACATTTAAAGATACACACTAGAAAGTGAGTGTTTCACAGGACGCTTGTCTATGGAGTTTACGTTTCACTTGCGCTCAAGTGAAAAAATGCATAAAGGCATTTTGGACCTATGTTGTACTGTAGTTCTAAATGCCTGAGGTGTCAATATGGCCCTCTCTTTCTACTCTGAGGTTAAACAGTTGGCAGCCTGTAATAGAGCACTCCAGCTTGAAACATTGTTGACCACATTGTACCATTATTTAATCAAAACTACATAGACACATTCTAATTTCTTTGTTTACACATGTGACTTGTTAAATGCCAATGCAAGAAGTAGTGATTGCTTTGATTTCTTGATTCAAATGTGATGTAAGTTTAAATTGGAAGCTTATGGGTGGCCAGTAGCCTTGTGGTAGGAGAAGCGAGCTATCAACCAGAAGGTTGCAGGTTCACATCCCACGACTGACTAGGTATGCCGGGTTGCCCCATGATTCCAGATTGGGCATAGTAAGGCAGCAAATTGACAGATTTCCCTTGTAGGACAAATAAAGTACATAACAAAGCTTTCCTCTTACAGTGATTATAGAATATGGATTACATAGATTAATCTAGTAAATTAGAGGTCCAGGAATTCAGCGGTATACGTCACTTTGGTGCGCTCCGTTAGTTTGTTTTCTTTCATTGATTGCTTTATGCAGTTTCTTGCATACTGAAAGTGGACGGGCCATTTTCATTTACATTACAGTTGCTCTTGGAGATGCAAATCTTGGCAAAATCTTTGAGCAATAACCAGGCCTCAGCAATTATTCATTAAACGACAAGCCTAAATTCAGGGATGCATCTTATCAAAATATCAGTTGTAAAACACAGTTCTGGTTCTTATATCTGTTTGATTGGCTGAGCGACATTTAAAGCCATTGTAGAATACTTGATATGTGCACACATCAACTGAATTCTTTATTTATGCACCTAGATATTAAAAATTGTTTCTTGTATGGACCGTGGAATGTAATACTGATAGATGGGGCTAGACACAAGTGTATGTATGAAGCAAACAGCCCATAAATAAAAACTTGGTTTTGTTTAAACCAGTGGGCTGGCAGCTGTATGTCCATGATTATATGACCAAAAAATTAATGAAATTACTGGAATACTCAGTGAGGGGCTACTGAAAGTTCTGTCTTCTGAAGTTGTGATTTATTCACGACATATCAGTAGCACAAGTTATAACGAACATAAAGCCATGACTATGGCTAGCTGTGACTCAGTGTACCTCAGTAGCTCTCAGAAGCCTTTGTCATCCACCGCACCCTTTTCTGTAATTTTGCACACTTGTGTGATTTCCTTCCACTCCTGTGCATTACACTTTTTTTTCTCAGGATATGGTTTGCCTTTAATATGGAACATGTCAAGTTGTGCTCTCATCTCAAAAAGTGGTCTTGAACCCCAACATTTTCAGCTGTGCATTTGGAAATGAAATAAAATTAAATATACTTTGTTTTTTGACAGTGTTGGTTGAACAGTTTTGTTGGTTAGCGATTAATTGGTTATTCACTTACATTACTGATTGGTCTGTATGATGTAGTTGATATGTTAAAATAAGACCTTAAGACAGGGGTGCACAGGTCTGGTCCTGGAGGACCTGTTTTCAACAGTTTTGGTAGTAGTTACCCTACTCACACACCCACTTAATCTGGCACTTAACACAAGAGTTGAATAAGTTGTGTTTGAGGAGGGAAATCACCTAACTGTGCTGGACTGAAAAACCTTTGGAGTAGATTGGGTATTAATTTATGCAGTCTGGTTTTTTTTTCCTTTTACTTTCTTGTAGTTGTGCACCCCTGTCTTAAGAGTATATGAGCATAAACAGCAACATGATTATATTTGGGCTGTGTCTGCATAAGAGAGGAAGATGTATTAGTCATGTTTTATTAGACATTTTTAAAGCTTTTACTGCTTTGGTACAATTGCTGTGGTAAAATGTTTCTGGTGGCCACGCGTCCATTACTTGAAATGATCAACTGCCTAGACATCCTTGCTTTTTATTCAGAGTGTGCAATGCTCTGACAAATGAGAGCATGGTCTTGTTAATTTACCAATTAAGGCCCAATCCCATTTCACCCTTTGCCCCTACCACTTAGCCCTTAGCCCTCTGTTTTGCATGTCCACGTCTAGGGTTAGGGTGTCCCAATTTTTGTTGAGATAGAGGGGTAGGGCGAAGTGTTAGGGCTACATGGCCCTCCAAGCGCAAGTTTTTCAGAGGCTCACTCCAAACGGAGTGTTATGAGAAAAACCGGCAAGATGGCTGTGCGAGCGACCAAAGAAACCCACAAATGTGAGTATTTTCTCCGTTAAAAAATTACGATAACCATTGTATTATCCTAGTTTAATGTTGTTTTGTTATGATGGCCGTTTTCTTTATAACATGCATAAAAAATTGCTAATAGCATGCTAATGTCTCGGCAGCTAGCTAGCTAACATTCCCGTTCCACCTGAAATAGTCCATCAGTATTGATGCCTGAAGCACCAGAATCCAACTGCTGCACCATATAAGGTGGAACGGGAAAATTCAAACAAGAAGCTGGTGAATAGCTGAGTTCAGCTTCGTATCACCAAAGAATTAGTGCTGGGCGATAATAAATAATTGTCTTATACCCCCTCTTTGAAAGCATATGATAACCTAAATGTCACTAAAGCCCAGCAGCGAGGTCGCTGAACTTTTCCCTTCTCTGCTATTACTGAAGACGGGCAGGGTTGCCTACAGACCAGCGCTAGTAGCCTGTTAATGAAGCAAGTTTTTTTTTTTTTTCTCTCCCCCCCCCATTTGAGGGTTGTCCCATTTCATAGGGCAAGATTTCAACCACTACCCCTTGTAACTCGGTTCCAAGGTGTTAGGGTGACACTCGAAAACAAGGGGTAGGGGTAAAAAGAAGAAATGGGATTGGGCCTAAGACCCTTGCATTTACACAAGCATTCACAAACATCTGCCTTCTTTTTCTCCCTTCTGTTTCTCCCTTTTCTTCTGTCTTATCTGCCTTTTTTGTTCTTCTTTGTTCTGTCTTGTTACGCTCATCACTTTCTTGCTTTACTTCTTCCCAGGCGTGTAAACCCCACCCCAGTGCAGGAGGGGGTCTAACCGTGGCACATGGCTCTGGGCAGTCCCTGCCCCCCCATGTGAGTCCTCTTGGCCATGGAGAAGACCAGTCCAGCCCAGCCAAGAGAAAAAGGACATCCAGCCCTGCCAAGGTACATAGCAGTCACTCTTTCTGCATCATCACAAAAATGCACTTGATTATAATCACAGTTGGACTATATGACCTCTCGCCCATAACGTCAACAGGTCATTGAAATACAATGTTTTTTGTTTTTTCTTTGCAGAGTTCTGCAGAGTGGGGCAGTAGCTCAGCACAACAGACTCCAAGTTGGTACTTGTCGCCTCAGAAACTACAGGTGAGTAGACTTGTCAAGTAGACTAGTATACATAAAAAAACAGTGATTTTACTGCAGAACAAAAGTGGGAACTGGTAATCAAATCATCAGGTATGCCAGTATTAAACACACTGTAACAGGGTTAACAAGGTTATTAAAAAACACCCAAATCTGTCTGGCTTGTCACATTGTGTACTTAATCAGTAAACTAATTGTACAGTAGTATTAGTTGGTAACGTATTTTGCCAAAATGATGGGATTATATTAACTATAGAAAAATATTTGATTGGATTGGATTGGAACTTGGATCTGATGCTTAACATGAAAAATATTCAGAACAGCTCAGGATCCAAAAAACTTGATTACAACATCCCTGGTAGAAATGCAGTCAAATTGCATGGAATCTGATCTTTTCAGGTCGTATCACATTTGTGTGCTTATCAGCAATGATTGCATTCATACACCTCTAGTAAGATTTTAACCCAGTTTCTGTTCGTAACTGAAGTGTTTCTCCTTCCTAATCTCATGGTCTCCTGGCTTTTTTTAAGATGTTGGAGCAGATGCGGGCCAACAAGGCAAATCTGAAGCCTGTGCAGATGCAAAGGTTGGAGCAGCTGGAAGCACAGCTCTCAGCCATGCAGTTGCACCAGCAACAGGTATACTTTCAAATTTGGATCATAGCAGCTTATCAGGAATTTTCTGCAAAGATTTCTGAAAAGCGAGTTCTTACTGTTTGTTTTCAAACCCAATATATACAGTTTATGCAAAAGCTTGGGCATCTCTTGCCAAACATTCTTTTTTATGTATTTTTATTTTTTTAAGTGTACACAGCCTACACAGCGAACCAATATATTATTATTTGATGAACATTTTTCTGCAGATGTTGAATAATAATTGTGGCATTTGCAAAACTTGACCCTTCCGGTCGTAACGTGCAAAAGTAAATGTAGCTAATAATTAAAAATACTAAGTAGGCCACTGTAGTTGCGTTGGCATTTTGTAGTGGACACCATACTGTTATGCCCATATAAGAAATTCCGGGTCTAAGCTTGATTTCTCAGAGAGAAACATTGGGCCTCATTCACCAACCGTTCTTAAGAAGAAACTTCTTCTTAAAACCCACTTGCGCAGTTTTCACAAAGATTCTGATATTCACCAATGTTTTCTTATTTGGGATTTGTTCTTAGGTAAGAACAGAATCTACACACACTCAAGAGCACAAAGGTGTAAACAGTTCTGCAGTTTAAAAACACATCATGAATCTGATGTAGACTTTTTCTTAGGACTTTTCTCAAGAACACAGTTAAGAATAAACTTAAGAAGATACTGGTGAATGAGGCATCTGTGACCTCATCACAAAAGTCAACAATTTTTGGTCAGTCACCAAAGGTGTGTTTGAAGGGGGGAAAAAGGAGCAGCAATTGATGAAAAGAACACTTTGACTGTTAAGCATAGGGTTGGTATCAGCCAGTGAAACTGCCAAGGTAGATGGAAGAATGGATTCAATTAAATATCAGAAAATTCTGGAAGCAGATGTGACACAGTCAAGAAATTGAAACTGAAAGTAGTGCTGGTTTCTACAACAGGACAGTGATTCAAAACATACCTCAAAATCCACCATGAACTACTTCATGAAATGCAGGCGGAAGCTTTTGGGAAGGTAATTTGTAATCCACTCAGTATCACTGAAAATGTTTGGGTAGATCTTAAACATGCTGTGCATTTAAGATGGCTCATAATATCGCGGAAGTAGAAGTGTTCTGCAACGAAAAGTGGGAGAATAACACTGCCGAAAGTCTACCAGTCTGTACAGATGCTGTATACCGCCTGTGAAGAGACAGAGACCCTTAATTTGTTTTTCTTGCACAGATGAGACAAAATACGTCTGGGCAGGTGCGGCCAACCCTCCCCAATGGCCCAATGGCTGGTCCTTCACTGCCTGTGCAGATCCACTCCCGCGGCCCTGCAGTGCGCCCTCCCTGTACTGCTCAGCCGCTAGCCAATGGGCCCTTCTCTGCCAGCCCCAGTTCAGGCCCCCGCACCGGCCCTCACCCACCCTCTGTCGGCAATAATCACATGCCGGGAACGGGAACCAACGGAGACGTGCCTTACCTGCACCCTAACGCACTACCTCACAACTGCACAAGCCCGAGCGACACATGGAAGAGCCAGCATCTCAACACCACTCAGGTCAGCCCTCACTCGCTGCTACCCTGTTGTCCTTAAATTGTCTGCCTCCATCCTTTCTAAATATTCCTTTATTGTGTTGGATCATGATGTGAATCACTGGATTAGGAATGGGACATTCTTAACATTTTTAACAAAATTTGAATTAAGAAAATATTGTTGCATAACCTACTGATGAGTCTAGGCAGGAGGTCTGGTGTTGGGAGAGTGAAGTGTGACATTGAACATGTTGGTGTGCAATTAACTGATGGTGATCTTTCGTGTTCATATAATGCAGTTGCAAATGGTGCATGGCATAATTAAATGCAGCTGATATCATCCTCCTCCACCATGCACATTGTTGCTTTTTTTTAAATTGCAATGTACATTTACAAACCTCTAATCACAGGTGTTATTTGACTTCGTACAGGAAAATAAATGCCTCTGTTTTTGAAAGATCCCATCTTTCTCTTTTGTTCTGTAGGGGCTTCAGAAAGGTTCGCATTGGGCAGGTCCTAATGGAGACCGGGCTCTCTCTTCCAGCGCTTCGGCTGACGGTGGCCCTCACAATCAGGTTCGACATTCTGCCACGACCCCTATTGACCCCTCTGAGCCTGCTGTCAATCACCTGTCCTCGCCCACCCCTTCCTCGGCCTCCTCTCCTGCTTCCTCGTCCGTACACACAGCTACCTCAGGTGCCCCCCTGACCAAAGAGAGTGACCACCCACAGGGCAACGGTTCCACTGCCGCTAACCACCATAGCCCCAGCCACACCCCCACATCCACCTCCACCTCTGGTTCGCCAGCCACCCACTCCTCAGACAATCCACAGCTCTCTGCCCTACTGGCAGGTAAGGAGAGCCCCGCCACAGGCCCCAGGGTCAACCACATCCACCCAGCTGTCACACTGCCTGCTCCAGGCAGCTCGGCCGCCTCCTCCCCAGCTTCAGCCCTTTCCACCACTTCCCCATCACCCCGCGCCAATGAGCTAATGGCCAGCCTTAACAAGCCTGGCTCCACCACACCGGGACCCCCACCTGCTGTCACCGTTAACGGGAGTGGAGGAGGGGCTTGTTCCGAGGACTCTCAGAGCCCGTTAAAGGCTGAACCACCAGAGCTTTGTCTCAAACCAGCCCCTCCCCATAGACCCTCTCACTCGTCGTCAACAGTGTCCATCTATCCAACGTCTTCAGACATCCTCAAAGCCTGCAGGTGAGTAGAGTGTTCTTGTGTTCATCATCATATGTCTTCCCTTTGTGGTTGGTCATAATTAGCCACCTGCTTTTTAAAGGGCCCATGTCCTACATTTTTTCTTCTGTTTTTCTCCCTGAAGTCCATGTTTTTTTGGATTTAAATAACACAAACAGTGATAATAGATTTTTTTTCATAACCATCTTCTAATCTCTCTTTATCACTTAGTTAAGCGGGCTGTTTTTGTTACAGTGCATTTAAGACTGATATATGTAAATGATCTCTGTTCTGATTCAGGCTGAAAAACACTACTTATAACTTCAGCTTGAACAGGCGGAGCTAAATTACTGTAGGCTGATATGTGAATGTGTAGGTTTTCATGACCTATCAGAAAATCAAGGCTTGCAAGTGCATATGAGCAGACTCAACCTACATTCAGCTGTTCTCAGCCTTGCCCATGGAGAGTTGCTCTACCGTAGAGTTTAATTTAACATCAGCCTGGAATGAAAATTTACCTTTTGTGTGTGTTAGCATATCTCTGATTGTATTAAGCATGATTCATCACTCCATTTAGAAGTCAAAATTCTTGTTTTCCCATAATCTTTAACTGAAGTGTAGTGACTTTTGCCTTCCTATTTTTGATGTCACTCTAGACCGGTGGATAAATAACTAAAAGTAATTTTCACATCCCCCTCACACCACAGTCATCTGTTTCTAGTGAAAATATCACCTAACATAAGAGACCCTCAGTAATACTGAATTTTGCCATGAAATGTCATCTCTGCACCATGATTTCTGATTCATGTAGACTGTAACCCAGGTAGAAAGCACCATATCCCCAGCAAGCTTTGTTGAAGAGTAATAGATAACTGAATTGCTGTTTTATGTCTGATGACTTTTGATTGCACCTCTCCTGATCATGCAGAAACCTTGGGAAGAATGGTCTGTCAAGCAGCAGCATTCTCCTAGATAAGTGCCCGCCACCCCGGCTTCCTCCTCCTCCATCACCCCCACTGCCGAAGGACAAGCTCAACCCCCCCACCCCCAGCATCTACGTGAGTACACGACCACTATTTATTTAATTACAAGACATACGAACAAGAAACAAATGTTCAGTTTTTATACTTTAATTGGCAGATGAATAACATCCTTGTTTCAGCTATGTTGGCATTATCTTATTTCTGTGTTACAGCTGGAGAACAAGAGAGATGCATTCTTCCCCCCACTGCACCAGTTCTGCACCAACCCATCCAACCCAGTTACCGTCATCCGTGGCCTGGCAGGAGCTCTCAAACTGGGTTAGTGCTCATCCCTTCAATCTTACAAAGGGATGTATACTTCATTTTTACTCAGAAAATCACCAAAATGTAATTTAACCACACTGATTGTTTGTGTGTTGTGTGCATTTTGGTTTTGCTTTGCTTTTTATTGCTTGTGTAAATTCCTGTCATATTTCTAGTGAATCTGACATTTTAATTAGTAATTCCAGGCAGTGAAATGGTATGGTTGAGTGTCCTTTAACTGTACATGCTGAAAGAAGGTCTAACATGGGTAGTATTATTGTCTCCTGGCATCTGACTTTTTTCTGAAAGCAAGTGTTAGGATGAGTGATTACTGATTAAACAGACAAATGCCTGCCGTTACACTTTGATGAAGTTCTGTGCACACATACTGAATCCTTCTACCTGCTTTCACCATCTACTCTTCACTTGTCTCTGCAGACCTGGGTCTGTTTTCTACTAAAACTTTAGTAGAGGCGAACCCAGAGCACCTGGTGGAGGTACGTACGCAGTTGTGCCAGCCAGCCGACGAGAACTGGGATGCCAGTGGCACAAGGAAGCAGTGGAGGTGTGAGAGTAGCCGCTCCCTTACCACTATTGCCAAGTACGCCCAGTACCAGGCAGCATCCTTCCAGGAGTCACTACGGGTATGGCGTTTGCAAATAAGCATACTAACACTAAGCCAGCATTAATTACCATTTTCACCGTGTTAAAATACTTATATATGTTATGGATTAAAAATTAAATGAACATTTGAAGTAGAATATATTGTTTTTCCACATACTTTTCATATTTGTTGATGACTGAAGGAGAAATCTACACAGCTTTTTGTTGCAATGCGTTCAGTATCAAACCTGCTTCAGAGCATTAATTTGAATAAAGAACATGGCTGTGCAGGTGATACAAAGACATCTTATTGTTTTTTTTGTTTTGTTTTTTTTTAACTTCTGCACATAGCATTAGTCAGGTGCTTTTTTTGGTTCAAGCTAACTGATTTAAATTGGACTGCATTTCGCTCTAGTCCAAATTCAGAGAATTATTATTCTTAAGATCAACAGATCAAACATGCATTATAGGCCGCGTTAGTTATCTAGCAAGTTTCCTCGCCATAAGTAGTTCCAGTAGGTATTCTGTGAGACATCTTGCATTTTTAAATGGCAATATGTAACATTGTATATCTCTAGGACCTGTAACATACCTACATTGTGGTGGTGTTGTCGTTACTGTCATCATTATTGTCTTTTTAAAATTGTAATCTGTGTATTTTAGGAAGAGAATGAGAAAAAGGGCCAGAAGGAACTTTCAGACTCTGAGATGTCTTCGTCAGAAAAGTATGTTTGTATGAATTCTTTATGTTGTGGTTTTTGATTGGAAAATTGAATTCTTCCCACACTTTGTTTATTGTATGTGTTTATTTAATTTCCCCATCTTCCTTCCTCACTAGTGTTGCAAGAAGAAGAAAAGGTCCTTTCAAGCAAATAAAGTTTGGGACGAATATTGATGTTTCAGATGAGAAAAAGTAAGTGGATGCATTTACACGTTGAATTGTTGAATTTACATTGAATTTATCAAACCAGATACCTGAAGTAAACCCTGCATTGAATGTGTGTGTTGTGTGCTCCCCCTGCAGGTGGAAGCTGCAGTTACAGGAGCTGAGCAAGTTGCCTGCGTTTGCTAGGGTGGTATCTGCCGGGAACCTGCTTAGCCACGTTGGCCACACCATCCTGGGCATGAACACTGTCCAGCTCTTTATGAAGGTCCCTGGCTGTAGAACACCTGGTCAGTAGCATTACATTTGATTAGACGTGCATGCTTCCTTGCATCAGCCTCATCTTTTGGACCCATCTTAGGACATTTTTTGTGTCCCTCTTCTGAAGTAGTACTCATGATCTGTGTATAAATAAGGATGTAAACCTCTGTATTAAGTGATTTACTCAGTAGTAACTAAACCTCCATCTACTTTCAGGCCACCAAGAAAACAACAACTTCTGCTCAGTGAACATCAACATTGGGCCTGGGGACTGTGAGTGGTTTGCTGTGCCTGAGCCTTACTGGGGAGTGATGAGTGAATTCTGTGAAAAGAACAACATCAATTTCCTAATGGGTTCATGGTGGCCTAATCTAGAGGACTTGTATGAGGCCAATGTGCCAGTATACCGGTTTATCCAGCGGCCCGGAGACCTGGTATGGCTCAACACAGGCACAGTGCATTGGGTCCAAGCCATTGGCTGGTGCAATAACATCTCCTGGAATGTGGGCCCATTGACTGGTATGTTTGTTGGATGCTTATCAGTCTATTACACACTGTATATGTGGCGTAAGGAGTACATTTTCTTCTTTGGATAATGACGGTGTAAGAAGACAAACAGATTGTGGTACAGCCTGCTGCCTTTATAGCATTGTAGGTTAGAGCTGAATGTTTTAGTCGTTTGTATATCGGAATTGTGATTTCTAAAAATGCAGATTACAAATCACAAAAGCTGTGATTATAACTATAGCTTATGTCATTAACAACTCTATCTTAAATGTTAAGAGAGGAAATTTAATCCAGTGACAATGAACATGTGATTGCGATAGAGGTGTTTCAGGAGAAGTGCTCATGTGAAACACCAGAACTGCTGTTGGCAGCTGTCTGGCTTCAAGCTTCAAGAAAAATTACACATTCAAGACCTTATTTTGAATACTGTATTTACTGATCTGCCATGCCTGCTATCAATTAAGATTGTAACTTAATTTGTCCCAATGTGCATTATAGACTACTTTCAGCAATTTTCTTTTCTTACTTGATATATACGTTGTTGGGAGTGGCCTTTATACATACATCAAATCAGTGCTAAGTATGACTAATACATCCTTGATTAGAGAAATAAAAATGTTTTCCATTATACGTCAGCTCTTACAGTTTTCTAAAATATATACAGCATTTTGGAATGAAACTCAACTGTTAATTTATAATGGGTGGATGGAGATGGGATAGTGTGATCATAAATGCTAATAATACTATAATGCTAGTGCCCCTATGGGATTAGAAATGTTATGTTGGCACCAAGCTAGTGTAGATGCCTTAGCTGCCAAATACAGATATTTTAAGCTTGTAATTGTAAGCATGTTTACTAAACATATTTCTTTTGGTTACTCTTGTAAATGCTTGTTTTTAAAGCCTGTTTCTGATTATGATTACCCTTAGCTATATGTTGGGCTATTAGGCTCCTGTTAAAGAAGAAGTTAAAGAAGTCCTGGTATCAGCAACCAGTGGTCACTGTCAAATTATTTATCTTGCACAGCAAAAAAGATAAGGATTTTCATCTAGCATTGGTTATTATTTACCTTGAAAGTAGACTTGGTTCTTAAACAGACCTGTTTCTTTTGCAGCATAAATGCTTTTGGTTTGCATGGTCATCAGACCTTATCACCAATATGTTTACAGATTTTTACAAATGCCATGATATAAAAGTCAGAATTGTTGTGGTTTTCTTTTTTCGTCTAAGTATTTTCATTAGTTTATCATGAAACTAGTTTTAATGTTCAGCTTTTTCTTTTTTAAACAGTGGTACTAGCAATGACATTTCATCTGATTAATGTAGAAAAAAAGAATTGTTTTGGTAGACGTTTGATGATATGTAGATCACCAGTACAGGCCTGGAGTGTAATTCAAAGAAAATAACTTAAAATTGCAGTTACAGTATTGGTCTTAAAAAACAGCAGTTATTAGGGGTGTGGGAAAAAATCGATTCTTAGATGCATTGCGATGCAGACGTGAACGATTCTGAATTGATTCACAAATGTCAAAAATCGATTTTCTAAATATTTAATTTATAACGTAACGTTGATGGAACTCAAAAGGCGGAACTTGGAAGTGCGGAGGTGCACATAACAAAAACACACATGGATGAGCGAGAAATCCAACCGGCTCCCTCTGCATTAAAAGCCAGGTTAGATCAGGAGTCAGAACACAAATGATAAGAAGAGCCATTTTGTCCTTTCAACAAAAATCAAACCACCTTGGGAGCCGCAACATTTAATGTCCATTATGTCTCCGTATGTGCTGATGTCCTAGTTTAGGCTAAACAATATAAACAAGAGTGCAGATTTACTTTGCTCTGCTTTAAGCTTTAGCTTTAGCCACTTTCCTCCCCTTTCCCTCAGGAAACTTTTCTTCAAAAGTAGAGCAGCTTATTGTAAAATGTCTCAGCGTTCGACTGTTTTACGAGGCTGAAGTCGCATTCTCATTCTCCAGCTTCTTGTTTGAATTTTTCCGTTCCACCTTAAATTCTGACTGAGGCGCCGAATGTAAATGCGGCACCATTTAAGGTGGAACGGGACAATTCAAAAGAGAAACTGACTTCATCATCGCAACTTTTTAGTGTTTGACAGTCTCTCGTTGCAGGTTTAACATACCAGGAAACCAACTGCGCTGCTTATAAATGCGAATAACGCATCATTGCTATGCGACCTGCAGTCTGCGGAGTCGTTGTGAAACAGACCTTTCTCGCTATGTTGCACACGCTCCGTCTCGAGGATATTTCCCTGACACAGCAACCCCCCCCCGCCCCCTCCCGTCTCTACAACGAGACCGAAACCGAAGTGATAAAATCAGTAAAGAACACGGGTAGGACGGCTGTAACGTGCTGTGTGGTCATCCACTACCACTGGATCTTAATTCACCATAACTGTGCATTTTATCGCAGATGAGTGGCAGCAGCGTCTCATGTACTCCAATCAAGAGCAGTGAATGAGAGCCTTCTAGTTCACTTGCCACATCACTTCCATTTGACTTATTAATAAAAGATATTAGAAGTAAATTCATTATGGATCATTACAAATACTTTGCTTTAACATTACAAAGTCCTCAGACACTAAGAAAATAGAAATGTTGTATAGAAAAATAAGATGCATCGAGATGCATCGATAATCGTTTTGTAATGGCATTGCAGCCCTCTGAATCGTAATCAGATCGAATCGTGAGGTACCTAGAGATTCCCACCCCTAGCAATTATGTATTATTTTTTTTCCCAAATCATTAAGTTCTTCCATAAGCTAGAGTCACAGGAGAGAAAACTGACTTTAGTGTTTTTGTTCTCCACAGCACATCAGTACAAGCTGGCTGTTGAACGCTACGAGTGGAACAAGCTCCAGAGCGTCAAGTCAGCAGTTCCCATGGTGCATCTTTCCTGGAACATGGCAAGGAACATTAAAGTGTCCGACCACAAGCTCTTTGAGATGATTAAGTGAGTGTCATTATTACTGCTTGAAGATGCCTTTTGGCTTTCTCTTATGCCATGTTCTCCTGACGTAAACCAATGCTGTCTTATTCCGGAAAGCCAGAGAGGTACGCATTAAGGCCCAACCGATAATCAAAACTGATATTTATCATTCTTCCGATAACCTGAATGAGGATTTTTCTTGCCAATTCTGAGTTTTAATGTGTGAATCTCTAGTGCAACTATGATTGACAGAAGCTTTTCTGCTCAGTATCCTGCCCACAGCTCGATTGGTCAAAATAAGTGAGACACATGTAGTACAATCAGTCAAAGCTTCAGTAGCCTGTCTGTGTCCTTCCCACAGTGTTATGGATTGGTAGAAACCCAGACAATGTGTCAAGTGAAACCAATCAAACTCTCTTTTCTGGCATATACGTTTGCAAGAGATGTGGTTTACAAGATTCATGTGTATATTAAAAAACAGCTGTGTTTATCTGAGTGAAGCAATAACGACATGTCTACAATGAACAGCACAGTGGTTTGGCAAAAATCAACCCCCCTCAGTAACATAACTTCACTATTTTAGAGTCTGCATAGTAGTTGCTAAAGGTATGTGTGTGTAAGTATACCATTTACACACACACAATGTTTATTTTGTGTTGGAATTAGGTTGCTTTAAAGTTTAACACCATAAACTTTACAGCATGTGTGTATCTGCCCCATATATTGCTTATCAGTCTCTTTGTCTACTGATTATCTGCTTTGGTAGGAAATAAACTTTTAGGTTGACCCGTAGTATGCAGAGACTGCTGATCTCTCAAGTGCTGCAACATGTGCAGAACGTGAAGACGGTGTGCTTTTCTTTTTCTTTCTTTCTATAACTGTGTGCTCTTTGTTTTAAATTTTTAATTATGTGCTCATCCATTGTGTCCATGCTAATTATTTTGATTTGACACAACTGTTCTACACGTGGCCATTTACCTCTAGCAGCAGTTTCGTGTCTCTGTTGATCAGTCAGCTGAAATTGTATTTCTCTTACTTCAATAACAAAGTGAAATGTCAAGTGTCTAAAGCTTTGTAAATTTTTTTGAAAATGTGATATCGATGATAATGATGCGTATAGCGATGATATGCAAAGAGTTGTAAAGGACAGTATTGAGAAAACCAGAACTGTGCCTGTACACTTTAACACCTGAATCTGGCCCGAGCCTTAACTTGCCCTGGTTGTATCTCTAGGGTCTTAATATGGCTATGGCTGTTGTGGTTTTGCAGGTTCTGCTTGTTGCGAACTCTGAAACAATGTCAGACAGTAAAGGAGGCACTGGTGGCATCAGGAAAGGAGACAATTTGGCATGGAAGGAGCAGGGATGAACCTGCACGTTACTGCACCATCTGTGAGGTGGGTCATTAATGTATTATTATTATTATTATTATTATTATTATTGTTGTGTTTTTGAAGCCATTAATTCAGTGTCTAAGTGCTTCTGGGAAATTAACTACATGAAATAAAACTGAATTTTATAGGTAGAAGTTTTCAATCTTCTGTTCGTAACGAGTGAAAGCTACTCCCGGAAGACGTTTGTGGTTCATTGCCAGGACTGTGCACGCAAGGGCAGCAGTGACCTGGATGGCTTTGTGGTGCTAGAACAGTACAGGATGGAGGACCTCATGCAGGTCTATGACCAGTTCTCATTAGTAAGTTCTGTTCATATTACTTAGCATGTGTTTGTATTAATGACTAGAAGAACTTTGTTTATAGGACTGATGGCTTTATAACTTTCTTTGTGGCATGTTGACACAGTGCATTGTGGGTATTCGAAAGAAATAAAAAAAAGTTTTAAAGTTGAATGCAATGAAACGTGTTTTTTTTTTTTTTCAGGGGGCTGAATAACTTGCATTTTTCTGTATTTCAGGCTCCTCCCCTGCATTCATCTTCATCTTGACATTAAGACTCTGTAGGTGTGGACAGTGTCACATTACAGGAACTTTATAAAAATGGACCATTTCTGATATTCAGGAAAGTCGAGGCAGTCTAGTGCATGGCTGGTGACCATGGCGACCGCCCAAGGCTGCCGGCTGAAGTGGCTGTGTGTGTCTATGCAACCTGTTGATAAACTGCAGCGCATCATGTCGGCCTACAGGGGGCGGTAGTGGATGCACTTCCTCTCCCCAGACCTCTCCCTTCTATGCGGCTCGGCTCTGCTTCTCTACAGATGTTAAATCAAAACATGGGGGAGAAAATTATGGGAAAAATGTTTTGTACATATTGTCTGTCACAACTGGCATCGTCACTTAAAAGACTTGACTACTGACTTGAGACATTCTCTGCCCCTCCCCACCCCCTTTTCCCCTTTTTTTCCTTTCGTTTTTTTGTATTTTGTTAATGGGCTGATACATGATCCTTTTTCCTTGTGTCTCAAAGGTTGTCCTTTACATGAGGGAGCACTAGCCTAGCTGGTCTTTTTGTATGGTAGATAGCAATTTTACGACTTCTTTGGATGGTAAAATCTACAAAAATAAGACAAAAATGTAAAAAAAAAAACTTTGTAATGTGAAGATTTAGGTGATATAATTTTTTACTGCTTTTAAGTTTTGTCTTGTTATTTTGAAACCATGATGTTCGATATTTTTGTTTCTTATGTAAGAAAAAGGAAAAAAATGAGGAAGGAAAAAAAAACTTAACAGCCAAGTCACAAAGAAAAATGGATTGCACATAGACTAAGGAATAAAGTTTAAATTGTGATTCCCCTCCCCCCTTTGGTTGTTTCTAATCTTGATGTACATTTACACTATTTATAAATACATATTTATTGCTTGAAGATATTTGTTGATGGAATGCTGTTATTTTTCCCAGAGTACCTGCCATTAAATTTGAAGGAGTTTTGTCATTTAAACTCTACTCCTGCATTTTCTATATAGAAATAAAACTGCTTAGCAAGCGTTGTACAGAAACCATTAAATTGTTTTATTGTTTGAAGAATGTTTTACAAGTTATTAAAACAAGTTCACAACATGTCCATGCACATTTTTGTTTGAATGGAATGCTGTGTGTAATATGATCTTATTTTCTTTGACTTCACTGGTATGTTAAAGGATGTAACCTTTTTTTTTTTTATTTTTGATCTGGATATCTATTGAAAGTGTTAAGAGGAATGGTATAGGAAAATATTTCAAAACGCTTTTTCTAGAGCATTTAAAACGATGCATGTTAAATGAGCATTCATTTACTCTGAGGGTTTGATGCCCTCTTGTATCTAAAGGAAGGAGACATGGTGGTTCAGCTATTTAGTCTACACACGTCCTGAGACTTCATCTGGCATAATGCAAAAATACTTTGTCCGTTAAACATGGTGCAGATGTCTTGGGTCACCAGCTTTCCAGCCAATTTATTTTCAAATCCTAGCTTGTTCGAAGTGTCTGCATTACAGTGTTGACCATCTTTCATCACAGGCTGTTATGTAGTTAACGTGTCTTTCTTTCCATCTTTCTAGAGGCTTCTCTCAACCATTCTTTCTGTTGAACTGAGATAATGAAAGGCTTATGGGTAGGAGTGCATTAATATGAGGTGAGTCATCATTGATGAGCATTTCACTGGAAATTGGAAAACATGAATCAGGATTACAGGTGCTGAATTAAAAAAAAAAAAGTCTTCCTCCCGCTGGCCAGTTTTACTAACACATGGTACATTTTTAAATTACAGGGTTTAGTATCCTTTCCCATAGTTACCATTGCAGCTAGCTAAGTTTGTTAAAGTCTTGTTCTAAATTTTTATGATTTGTTCTCATTTAGTGAAGTTATGTTCAGTTTACCTGCATGTGCACAATACAACTCTGCAGCGGAGAGCCATCGCGTTCTGTGAGCACTAAGAACTACCAGGTAATAACCAAGAATGTGGTGTTTGATGCAAGAGCCTGCATAATGCCAAAGCAAACGGCAGAAACTTCTGCATCTTTCCTTTGCTTAATATTTTTCCTGTATTTTAAGCTGTGAAAAAAAACTATATTATCTGAGTAAAAACCTGTATATCTAAACCAATGAAAAAAAAATCCTTAATTTTGAATAAACAACAAAACAACTCAATTAAAAGAATTCTTTTATTTAAGTTCAACATTTCATTGACCATGACATTGCTTATATTTTGGCACTGTACTCACCTCCAAATATCTGACACTGATGTTTAGAAGATGGATCTGAAACCCAGCAGACAATGTAGCTGTAGGTTTGCCAACACAGGTATCTACACTGAATGCCAGGTACAAAACCATCTCGGAACAAATATACATTTTTTCCCAAAAACCTGTCATGCTCACCCCACTTGGCTTTGGTTCTTTATCAGTCCATCTTCCTAGCTGTCTTGGAGTGTACTTGTTCAAACCTCATCCTACTGTAATTCAAGGTCATTCTCCCAGTCTATGCCCCTTCATTCTTTTTAATAATGCAGTATTAAAAAATGCCATTACAAAAGTATCAAAGGATCAGTAGAAATGCCTACCATTCAGTGACCTATGAAGCAGGTGCATCTCTCAGAATATGGAGTGAATGAAGCCCATTAGAGACCCAGTAGCCAGATGTAGCTGCTGACAGGCAGACAGGACCTACACTGACTACTGAGCAACTGAGAGGCCCCCACAAAGCTGGCTAGCTGGAAAGCACATTCAAAAAGAGAGGAGAGCAAGTGTTGGAGTTGGACCGCAGGGCCAGCTGACAATGAATTACCCAAATAAACACTAGATTCACATTGATTTGTACAGGATTCCATATGTACCATTAACTGGAAAAATCCTCTTAAAACATAGGAAGTTTCATTGGCTTGGTTCTCGGTCACCTAGAACTCTTTGGCATGGTTTGCAGAGTTAAAACTCATAATGGAGTACCATCTAAGGGTGGTTCCTTCATAGCTCTCTCTCTCTCTCTCTTGCTTGTTCAGCAAGCCTGTAGGAAAGTGAAATTGTGAGTAACATTTTCACAGCTGGCTGTCCTGACTGAGAGGTTGAAGAACGCTCATCTTCTGTATGTTGTTGCTCAGTGTTGTATTATCAGGGTGGCAGGCTGATGTGACATGGAAAAAGGAGATCAAACAAGACACATGCGCTGGCCTTGGGTTCAGGCAGTGGAAAGTTAAACAGGAGTTTACCTCCATTTTTAACCCTCTTCAGATTAGGAAAGCTGACTCATCTCACTCAGGTAAAAAAAAGAAAAAAGCATTCTACGGACACCCCCATCTCTCACACACACACACACAAGCTCATCACCGCCAACGGGAGTGATCATACATAGTAAATATAATGATGTGCCCATGAGGAACAAGAAGTGCAGTGGAGTGAGGTATTATGAAGATATTGTCAGTATTACATGTACAAATATAACTGCTTGGTAGTATCATTAGCATGTAGATACAGTTGTATGCCAACATGTTTTACTGGCAAGTTAACACATCCTCTAAAGGGAACAAACTTTTTTTTTTTACAAGTTTAACATATTGAAAAAAAATAAAATAAGAAAAATGTACAGGCCACATTTCATATTTGTTTTTCCCAGTGTGTTGAATTCATGAAAAAAAAACAGCAATTATGCATTAAAATGTGCAGAAGTGTGTTACCTGTAGATACTTTAGCTTTTCACTCAGAAAAACAGAAACACGTAGTTGTACCAGTGGTTCCCAAACCTTGGTATACAACTGTTCCAGCTGTAAGGGAGGACGTAGGAGCAGTGTGCACAATACTCCCTGTTATTCAGAGGGTCCCATGTTGGCTGGCTGCTAACTCACTTGCCATAGTAATGCTAATGCTAGCTTTAATTGCAGCAAAACGTTTGTTTTAAAAATTCTTCTGGAAATGCTTGTTTCTAGTTTGGTTATGAGTTCTTCCGCACATTAACTGATATCTTACACAGCTCCTTTTTTTGTCTTTAATTTGGGAAATTCACTCTTTTCACCAAACTCTTGGGAAATTGGACAATTTTTTTTTAGATTTACAAATATGCTGCAGCACATTGTAAAGTTTTTCAGAGGTATCCCGAGCATAGTTACAATTGCTAAGCTATGAAGGACCAACTGGGTGAACCAATCTGCAACAGCACCACCCTGAGGCAGACCAGTGCTGCATCACTAATTAGTTAAGAATATCAAAGACAGACGGTCACTGATTGTGGGTAAAGCAGCTAAACAATGAAAGTTGCCTGAATTCATATTTGAGCATCTATTATACCGTGTCGATAAAATAACATTGTAATTAATTTATTTTCAGTGACCACCCCCCCACAGAATTTTGATCGAGACATTCAGGGGATCCAAGAGATTAAGTATTTCACACCCTGCATAAAAGTAAGTGCACAATACAAAAGTAAAATGTATCAATTTCAAAGATATGTCCTCTAGAATCATTAAAGGTGGTAATTAGGCCAGTGTCAATTATTTAAGTTTCAAGCCTTTTTAGTCTTATTTATGTGTGCCTGCTTCCTCTCTATCCATCTTTTGTATATCCATGTTTCTCTCATACTCTCTCTCTCACTCTGCCTGTCTTTGTTGTCTGAACTGAAGGTTGCTGCGTCCCTTTTTCCACTGCTGCTTGCTGGACTGCCTGTTTCCGTGACGTCACAGGCTGTGTGACGACACATGACACATCAAGTTTTTCCATGAATTGGCAAAAATGCCCAGGGCAGAGGACGTCAGCATGATCATGGGCTCAAGTGTGCGTAGGAAAAAAAAGCATACTGTAATCTATAATGTATAATGTATAGACATTCCTTTTGGACATTATGGTTCACACTGCTACAAAAGGTAAATTTGCATTTAAGAAAGGTTGGAGAGCAAAATCAATGTAATGCTGCTGTCTGCCCTCCAGCCGACACACTTTAGAAATCCCACTATCGGACACACTTAAAGCCAAGGGCACATGAACGTCTTTTACATGGGAATTCTGAATTCTGACCTTGGGTCACAGTCCATTTCTCACACTCTTGCACTCGCACTTCTCTATTTCTCTCAAACTTTTTTCTTTATCTCTTTCTTTCTCTTTTGCCTCTCCTCCTCCCTACCTCCCTCTCTTCTTTCTCCAAGCTTTGTCTGTAGAAATTGGCCCATTTCCAAGTGACATGCCTGTGAACCCCAAGCTATGGAAATTTGAGAGGACAGGCTGAATGGAGAGAGTAAAAAAAAAGAACAGGATGTGCTTGAGAGGCGAATGGGAGTAAGGTCTGCACTTAATGACCCCCCCAAACACACCCACACACACACATACACTCTTCATCACACTCTCTCTCTCTTTCACCATGTGACAAGTGGCCTCGTACACTAAATTTAGCTCTGCCATTGTCAGTGTGTGTTTTCTGCTTCTAATAATGGGAATAAGGTTAGTGTGTGAAGTGTCAGTTTAATAGCCAAGCACAATCTACAGTAAAGTAAAATATTTATTTAAATTCACCCAATGTAATAATACTTCTATTCAAGACTGTTTGTACTTCTTTCTATAATGAATAAAATGCACTAATAAATTTGCTCTATGCTAAAAAATACCTTTTTAGACCATTACATATTCATACATGTAATTTCATATAATGAATGGAGAGGTTAACAGCATCTTAAAGATTATAAAAAAAATACTGTGTCTGACACCACTAAATGGCAAAGTATCACATTTCACTACAAACATGCTACCGCACATGACCGACCAATCAGAGGGCTCATTTAAACAGTCCATTCATAAAATCATGCTTTACCCTTTACCCACATGGCTTGGCCCATTTAGCCCCTCCTTCTCTCTAATGCGCTTTCTCTCTTTCCTTCGCCCCCTCTCTCTTCTAGCTGCTGCTGTAGAGGTCTGGCAAATAATCACCATTTCATGAGAAACAAGGACACTGTGGCAATTGCGTCGTGTCTACATCAGATTGTGTAAGCCATTGTTAGTAATAATAATGAACAGCATACTGAGTGAAATGAATGTTCTATCTAAATTAAGTCCTCAAATATGGGCAACAGATGACGTAACTGTAAGGTAGTTTTATATGCACTGTGGT